GGAGAGTTCGGATGCCACCAAGAGACGTTTGTCTCCAGAAGCACTCGAGCTGATATACCAGCGTTTAATTGCACGAGTTGCAGGCAGCCGCGAACTAACGTCCGAACTTGCAAAACAATGCAGACAGGCGATAAAAGACGCTCAACAGAACAAATATCTCCGAATGCTCCAGCTATATCTGTCTAAGTCGGGAAATCGATACAATGAACGACGTAGCTCCAGAGCTGAGCAGAAGGAAACGAGCGGGTTGGGGAGCTTGCAAGAGCATCGAGGTTGTAGTGAAAAGGACAAAGAACACCCGACTCCGTGTCCACCTTTTCGATTCAACGGTACTTCTTACCCTAGCGTATGCGTCAGAAACCTGGTCGCTGCGTATGCAAGATGAAAGATCACTCAGCGTTATTGAACGCGCAGTCGAAAGGACGATGCTAAGAGTATACCGCTCCACACAAGTAAGGGATGTGATCCGAAGCTCAGGCCTGCGTCAACGATCAAAAATCAGAGATGCCGTTCTATACGCCAAACAGTCGAAGATAAGGTGGGCTGGACACATAATGCGTATGAATGACAACCGATGGACAAGAGCCGTTAGTGACTGGATTCCTCGGGATGTCAAACGTACTGCAGGAAGATCACCGACCCCATAGTTAGAGTTCTTCACAAAGAGCCTTGAAGAATCTGATGCGCAAAGAGTCTCTAAAGCGAGTAGAGCCCACTGGGCCACTCTTACACGCGACAGGAGAAATTTAAGATTTACTGGCAACCCCTCGAGGCATTCGACGATCAAAGGGACTACAAGTGACACAAGTGATACGTAGGCGTATTTTCGAGAAATAAGGTTAGAGGAACTAGAGGAACAACCATGCTCCTGAAAGATAAGCCCAGCAAAGGGAAGATCCCGTTCACTCAGTTGCCCTTCACTTCTAACGAAATAAGTGCATCTATAAAACCTTTCTTAGGAATGGCCGGTTTAGAAAACTCGGTAGCAATGCCTGAAACATCGCCGAACCTCATAATACGCCAGGTGGTTCGCAGCCGCTTGCATGACCATCTGTGCAGAATGCGAAACTGCATAACTGGTTTTAATGGTAGACACGGTGATTCCATGAGTTCGGATGAGACATAGCCGTAATCTCTTGCAAAGTGTGTGGGGATGGGTACTTGGGCAAAACGCGTGGATCATTGCACATCCATGTAAAACAGCATCTTGAGAAACTTAGAGTGCAATAGAACACTCTACTGATCATGTATAAGACAAAAAGACATAACGGAGAGGACATAGCAGTAAGAGTCGTTAGTCTTTCATAGGAACGCAAAACAACATTGCACAAAACTCGTTAGGCGTTGTGAACCAATACCAAAAATTTCCAAAAATGAACCGTAAAGAGAAGTGGCTCGTAATAATCCTTGACCTAGCGTTATTCTTCAAGTTGACTCTCTGACCTGAACCAGGCACATTCCTCACCCATTTAAGAGTTTGTGCGGCTACCAAATAATTGGAAGGCTCGTAGAGAACAAAACAATGACTGTTAAAAGGAGCTGTTTGCCATAAAGCTTAGGTATTGAGTTTTCTGCTGGGATTGGGTTCGAAGGTTCGAAGAAGGCGAAAGCGCCAAAATATTAGCAGCAAGTTGATTCGGTCTTGTATTGTTAATATTACCACTGTATTATATTGTATTGTATTGTATTATTGTTATTATTATTATTATTACTGCCTTTTTCTTCTTAATGGCAGGGTATGTTGTGAAATATAACTCGTATGAAGTGCTGAGATACCTGCAAAACTCCGGACCACAGGTGTATGCAGTAGGGAACGAACACGCGCTGTTGTCCTTACCGGGGAGCAGCGCATTTCACCACTACACCATCCGGGTCCCTGGCGTTGCATGTATCTCAGCTGGTTCTATCGATCTTTTTGCCATCAGCAATCACCCGTCATGCCGATATTGGCTCCCCAGATCAATCCCGTTGACGGGTGATTGCTGATGGCAAAAAGATCGATAGAACTAGCTGAGATACATGCAACGCGAATGACCCGGATAGTGTAGTGGTGAAGTGCGCTGCTCCCCGGTAAGGACAACAGCGCGTGTTCGTTCCCCACTGCATACACCTGTGGTTCGGGGTTTTGCAAATATCTCAGCACTTCATACGAATTATTATTATTATTATTATTAACAACCTCGTTCCCATTAAGGAGGGGAACATCAACCTTATCAACCTATGTGGAGATCAATCTTTTATTAACATAAGTGTATGAGTATAAGAAGATCACAAAAGTTTCTTTCAATGGTGCTGGCACCTGAACCAATGTTTTTTCTCTATCTTACAAGATAACTCGTATATAATGCTGAGATATTTGCAAAACTCTGGACCGCAGGTGTATGCGGTGGTCTTACAAGATAATTCATCTATTTTTGTGGATCATGAAGTCAAACTAATTCATCCACATTTCTAAATCCTTCATAGTCCATTCACCTGTAGTTTTACACATGTAAGAGGTATAAATGGGAAAATGGTGGTTGTCCCGTGAGAAATTGTCCTTGATGACATCTACGATAATGATTAAGATCAGTTTCTATTTATTTATTACACGCCTTCCCACTCTGTGTAGCTGAAATCACAGCTTGTAATTAGTGAAATAGGTGAGATTTCTGCAGCAAAATCTTTTAATGCTTTTATCACCTAGAAAGTAAATTCCCATGTAGGACACATGCCGGAGCTAACAGAATTTCTCTTATGAACTATTGTGTTCTCCTACAACACTCTAAGTATTCATTTGTAATCTATCTTCTCTTTCTAAAATGTCGGTGACAATATGTGATGGTCTACTGTTGTTTGAAGCTATTCGTTTTTCCTGTAATAACAAAAAACGATTAATCATTGTATGTTTAAGGTGGAAGCACCGGTGACTGATCTCGGGCCGCTACTCTACTGTAGGTATGTAGACGACTGCTTTGTCCTTTGCTCAACAGAAGAGGAAATGGACAAGTGTTTCGAATTGTTAAACGCACAGTCAGAGTATATCAAGTTCACCCGAGAAAAGCCGAAAGAAAAATGGCTTCCATTTTTGAACGTACAAATTCACCTATCAGAAAATGGCTACATTACAAAGTGGTACCGAAAACCAAGTAGTAAAAACACCTTGGTTCATTACCTCTCCTCTCACCCCTCTCACACGAAAAGGGCGCTTATAAGAAACATGTTTCGAACAGCAACCAACGTGTGCACGGGAAGAGAGCAGAGAGAGGAGTCCCGGAACATGGCACGGCAAATAACCATTTCTAATGGCTACGAAACTGTAGCTCAGAATAGGTGTAGAGGAAATCGTAGGCCTCCAAACGACAACTCTAGCAATAGAAGGGTCTCGTTTATCCTACCCTTCATCTCAAATGATATAATTACAGCTATAAAACGCTGCTTGAGAAGGGCGGGCTTAGAGAATTCGGTAAGCGTAGTTGAAATACCACCGAGTAATCTTAAGCGCCAGCTAGTTCGTAACCGCCTATATGACCGTCTATGTGCAACTCAAAATTGCATAATTTGCCGCAATGGTAGAGACGGTGATTGCATGAGCTCGGGTATAGTTTATCTGATCTCCTGTAAGACGTGCAGTGACGAATACATTGGCGAAACGGGTAGACTCCTCTGTGTCCGCATAAAAGAACACCTAGCCGGCAAACATAGACCAAATACACCGCTAGGCACGCGTAGGACCCAGAGACATAACGGGGAGGACTTTGAAGTATGTGTCACGATCCTCGCACGCGAATCAAGAACACAGGCGCGAAAAAGCCTCGAGGCATTCTGGATTAATTCCAAAATCCGAAAATGAACCGCAGGGAAGAATGCCTCATTATCACGCGTGATATAGGGCAGTATATAAGACTGCTATTCTTGTGGGAGGGGCACATTATACTTCCATGTGAATTCTGTGCGGCTGATCTCTACGTGACATACTGAGTGGAAACCTCATAGAAAGCGGTGAGTATGCAAAGCTGTGTTTAACGTGATTGAAATCTTGGTTTAGAGTTTCTTTGTTTGGTTATGGAGGCGTCTGGCCTAGTAGATTGCTATCAACTTGACCTTTCCAGGCTCTGAGGAAGGCGAAATCCGCCGAAACGTCAGCTTATTCGTGAATTAAGAATAATAACACCTCGCGTTTGCTCAACGAAAATACGAGGAATTAATCATTGCGTTCAACACTTTTTTTGTGGCGCGTGTGGAGCAGTGGTCAGAGGCGCTGTGCAGTATACATGGGATGGATTCCAACGCTCCAGGTTCACAAAGCTTTCTGTCCTTCGGGGGTCCGTAAATTGGTACCAGATTTGTCTGGGAGGATAGCAGCACTGGCTCAATATATCTGTCTGTGGGCCAACGCGAGTCATTGCAAAGGCCAGGTATGCACTCACTCACCTCTAGCGATGATTATTGAAGTCGAATTCATGACACATTCCTCAGGGATTGATTAACACCAAGAGCTTTACCCTTTATCCTGTAGGACTTTTACTTCGGACTAGTGCGGAAGCTTTTGTTATAGAAAAAGGGAAACTAAATAACTTTGCTATTAATTGAATGATCGACACGTAAGTTTTATTCCGACATCTCCGTTCCATAGTGCGAAAATTAGGTACCATTTATCAGCCTAATCAATGCTTATTACAACTTTTCCGTTATACTTGTAGACACATAACTGTAGACACATTCATGCAAAGTTTTTAAGGACCATGCGATGATTTGAGGTTTTTCTTAATATTAGGGAACCGTCGGATCTATTGTTAAAAAATTGCTAAAAAATTATACATCTATAAGAATTATTCAATCAATGCCGAGGTTAATAGAAAGTCGGACTGGGAATTATACATCTATGCAAACAGACACAAATGAGACTATGCTAGAGTTACGGTAGTTCCAACTATAAATCCGCTACACTAAACTCATTAAATCATTTGTCAAATCTACTACTTTACTATTGTAACTGCAAAAAATTGTGTTTCCTAAACTTACAAGGATTCAAACTGTTGTATCTGATTGTAGATCTTTTTAAATTTTATCTGTCGTCCGTTTTGTTCTTTAGTGATCGTTTGAACTAAGCGCGTTCCTTTTCGCTTAAACGATCGTGACGCCTAGAAAAGAAAAAATGTTACGTCGAAGATAAATATTTTTGTCTAAGTGTTATTTTACGAATAGAATGTGAAACAAGCCCTATTCGGCATCTCATCGTCAATACTGGAGTAAATTTTCCGATATGTCGAAGTTAAAGTGAAAATCGGTCCACTGACAAACCGAGCAGTGTTTAACGGTCCTTCCTCGATCATAATCGTTCCTTAAATATATAAGATCATTGGAGCTTTACGTAAAAGAAAAATAAAGACTGCTTAGGCCGATATTTTCAATTCATCGATGTTCTTATAGTGCAGTGGGTACACGCGCTCTTGCGATGCGTGTTATCTTTGGTTCAATCCAGGGCCTAGAGATAACGAATTTCCCATATTTCCTATGTTTTAGTCTGAGAGCACATAAAAAACACTAACTCGACTCATCGGCAAACCCTCACGGTGCTTATGGGTTTCCTATGCATTCCACTCCATCAGTAACATTGTAGAAATGACTGAATCCATATTTGCCCTACACAGTGACTTGCAGGGTCTGACGATCTGTCGAGATCAGAGCTCAGTGTTCTCGTATCCTTGGTATTAGCTTGCTGACTCTTGAGTGTTGCAATAGCTCATGTGCCCCAACTCGGAAATCAGGCCTACTGCTGGTCGTACATTGCAGGACACCTCTAAGCACAGCTACTCACCCGTACTAAGAATATTTACAGTAACATCTCCAACTTTCACCTTTTGTTCTTAAAAAACTGAACTACTCAAGGTTGAATATTCGATAAATTGAATGAAAAACCAAAAGTATTATGACGGTGGATTGTGCTCACCTTGATTATTGACGCTCATAAGGGCTACCTTCATGGTTGTCTCATCTTTTGGTGAATATTGTCGAATTGTCAAAAATCCATTACATATGTGGATATCGCTAGGATCATCGTTATTTACAGCCACACTTCTTAAATTTAAACAATTATAGAAAATAAAGGATGAAGCTCTCGGCATTGACCAATCCATGAGGGATGCGCCATACACTCGACATCATAAAGCATCGTTGGAGGTGACTGAGTGCATTTCTGGCCGTTACAATCACTCGTAGTGGCCTAACGATGTATCGAGTTACTGCTGCTATCCTACAAGACTAGTCCGGTACCAATTTGCCGACCGCTGTGGGATGGAGGACTTGGTGTACCTGAGGCACGGGGATAATACAGGGCGCCTCCGACAAGTGCGCTACCCACACCCCCTCAGTTACAATTAGAAAACAATTAGTAATAAATTATTCTTCTAAATGAAGAGAGCACCATTCATATTTTTAGCAACAGATGATTGGCGTAGAAATTTTAGTGGCCGTTTTTATGTAATGGGATAAGACTAGTGTTATTTTCATTGTTTTGGTTGCGCTGACAATCTAGTAAATGGTTTTTCTTAAAAGATGCCAGCTGGAATAGTTACGCTTTTCCGTTACTTCGTATAACCAGTCTTTTCTCACTGTAACTCTTTTCTAAAACTTTGATAAGCATCGATTATTAAGATCGCCATTGACTGTAAAAATATCAATCAATAGTTACATCGAAAATTGGCTATTGTAATTTTACTAAAAGTAATACATTCACTGAAACATACGTATAGCCGATGCTCGGCGTCCCAAACACAAGCGGCTTTATCACAGAGAATATTAAAGTCTCATTGTATGCGGTCGCATTAAAAACCGACGGAAAATCGATTGCACCTCCATAGAAACCTAAATTTAACCAAATGTAGCCTGCAAATAGTACAGAGTGCGGGAAAGCACGTGAAAGCAGCTTTAAAGGTCGAAAAACTGAAAATCGATTGAAAATTGTGGCGTTTATGGCCTATTTGACAATGCGGGAAATACGAGATTTTTTCAAGCAGTGCCTCAACTTTTATTAATGGCATATTGTTTGCTCATGGAAGCATGCCACGTTAAATACGGCGACAAGGATGTTGAGATATGAACAGAAATCGGAACCACAGGTGAGCTTCGAACCCGCCGCTACCCTTACAAAGGGCTCATGTGCTATCCATCGCACTAACAAGGGCCCTTGCTTTATCTTTCTCGTCCATGAAGACCGTTAACAACATTGCCATTGATTGATATTGCCCGCAATTGACTGCTTAATACTATAAAGCGGAAATAACCATGGAGAAAAGGGAAGAGAAAAAAAACGAAGCAAGCAGTCGAGTCCGTTATGGAGCAAAAAAAACATGTTACTATAAATTAACTTTTATTTACTGCCTATTCTTTTGTTATTTGTTAGCACGAGGTGCTGTTTGTGAGCAAAGCTCTGAGCTTTAGGTGGGTTCCGAACTCGTGACTACGTTTACGGAGGCTCACGTGCTATCCACCTCACCAACCAAAGCCCAAGCTTTACCTCTTTTTCAGCTATGTATTGTTTATTGTTTGTTCTGTTTATTCTTTCCCACTCTGCTTTTACTTTATTGATTCTTCCCAGATCATTCCTAGCGATAGGTGATAGCGATGATAAAGAAAAGTATTGGTGGAAGAAAGGCAAGGAAGGGGTCTCAGTTGGTGTGGTGGATAGCAGGTGATCCAGCGGTAAGGGTTATCGCGATTGCGAAGCGCAACTGAGGTTTCGAGCTTCGCTCATATTTCAGCGTCCTTTTGGTTATTCTACGACGATTGAACTCGTTCTTCAACAGCATCAATGGGCAATAAAAATGTGCAGAGGAAACGACAAATCCACCTTTTTAAAATTCTTTTTTTACCTTTCACTTAATTTTTTTCATGAAATATGAAACAGTTCTTTTTAGAACAGTGGTGAGGCCATGTATAGGTAATCCACAACTACGGACAATGTTACTTACTTTTTACTTCGGTTTGCCACTCTCCTATTATCCACGATAGAGGCAACAGAACGGCCGACAATCGACTGATTATCACAGTTGCTATTAAAAGAATTCCAGTAATAATTGGATGCAAACATAACGTCAGTTAAGGTATGAGATTCAAAGCTTTTCTTTAAGAATCCTATCATTTGCCTTTATCATATGTTTCATTAGAGACGAAGAAAATGGGGTTTTAGAAAAAGGAGGGCTAAACGAACTTGTATCATTCAGAGGTCTACACTTTCCACACGATACTGGGCAATTCATCTCGAAGAAGTCGCTTTCTTCTCGTGGAATCTGAAAGAGAAGATATTTTTTTTTCAAATGAAGTTTTTATATTAAAGTGAATAGAGGTTCATAATACGCCGATGGTTTTAACATATTATATAGTGTGATACTTGGAGTTTTTTTTCGGTTACTGTTTTGGACCATTACCAGGATCCGTCACCGTCTTGGTACCAAATTAGTCGCATTACGGCAAATCTCTTTGTGATTCACAAAGACGGCGACTGCCTGTGCCAGTGACGACCTGGGCAGACTTTGGCCTGGCTGACCACGTCACTCCGCGGAATCACAATGGCTAAACCAGTTAAACTCCGAAAAAATAGAGATTGTGCTGGGGTCCGCACAACTAGTGAGGATGGGCCGTCTAAGTATCCGAGTGGTAAGTATTCTTTCTTTGATAAGCTTGCTCGAGGTTGGTAAATATTCTTTATTTTCGGCCAGCGTTTCGGTGGTTTCGTCTTCATCAGAGGCGATGATCCGAGTCGATTGTCCACAATTATTCGTGTTCTCGAGGTGGCGTCTTCCTCACGCATCTAGCCGTATCTTCCTCAGTGGAGCATCTGTCTCGAATGAGTCATGCTAACCCGGCGATGCTCTTTTGTACAGGATTGTTCCTAAAGCATCGTTTGGAAACTGCATAAGCAGGCAATTTTGAACAGGAGTGTCAGCGTATCATCTATGGTTTTGTTTTTCCCGTATTTGGATTTTATTTTCCCCTTTTTTTTTAAAGAAAAGGAGGAATGAAAAACTCTGGAAAAAAGTTGATAGGCACGCGAAGATATTGTAAAATGTTTCTGCTAACTCATCAGCTATTTAGTTCCATTCACTGAAAATTAGTAGTTTTGTACGAGCAATTTCATCTTCTGTTCGACTTTTCGATATTTTTTAATATTTTCGCGACGAGTGACACAGGTGACAACAGGTGTTATAATGTTTTGCGTGAGTGGCCAATAAGAAACCTTTAGTTATCATTTTCTTTCCGACCGTTTATTTCAGCGCGTAGAACGACTACCATGCATCTTGTAGTAACTCCCAAGTCCGACTTTCTATTAACCTCGGCATTGATTGAATAATTCTTTCTACTTCTGTTCAGCAAACACGAGGTGTTACATTATTTCTGATTCTCTGTGAACTCTGTGCGGTTGGTCTCCACGCAACATATTTAGTAGAAGACTTTTAGAAAGCGGTGAGTGTGCAAAGACTCTGTGTTCAGTGTGATTGAAATTTTGGTTTAGCATTTCCAGGTTCTGAGGAAGGCGAAATCCGCTGAAACGTCAGCTTGTACGTAAATAAAGAAATAAAGCAACACCTCGTGTTTGCTGAACAGAAGTGGAGAGAAATACTCCCTTATACTTTTTTTTATCAGATTATTATTTGTTATTTGAATCCTTTAGAGTACTAGGTTGGGCAATCACTGGCTGAAGCTCTATTCTGTACTTGGAAATGTGCAAAAAGAGCGTTTTTTGAAAGAGTTCACTGACCAGAAATTTGAGGGGTATCGACAACTATTTCACTTCTAATTGCTATAGCAGGGATAGTTATCGAATATAGTGTACGGATATAAAGATGCTAATTTAGAGACCCATAATTTGCAAAATACTTCTAAATGCTGACGATAATATGTTCGTATGATAGACCATCGGAAAATGTAGTAAACAGCTCTGCAAATATTGTTGATGCTCCTAGAACTATGGACCAAAGTCTTTTCTACAATTCTTTCATCCGAACAACCAACGAAAACCTCCAGTTATCGAAATACCGTTGTTTATTTTCGGAAAACCGTCAAGTCCATAAAAAATGAAAATTAGGCGTCGTCCAGTCTGCAAGAAACCCGAGATCAGAAGTCATCACGAGAATGTTAAATGAGTATAAATTCCAGCGGATTTCAATGAAAAATATTTTATCCCACCTCACATTGCCCTTCTCGTTTCCAAATTCTACACGATCCATATATGTCTTGACAGGGCCCTGAATATGAACAATTTCCAAAGTTAGGACAAAACAACGTGAAGGAAAAAAAAGCGCTTTAAAACTGTGATAAAAAGTCGATATAGAAACTACTCTTTATTTCATAGAGAGTGTTCCCTACAAATATCTGTGCTTATTACCATCTCTATAGCTGCACACGTATTAACAAATTTGCGCTTGTACAGTATTTGCTTTCTAATGTTCAGTCGTCTTTATTTGTGTATGCTTTATTCCTTTCTGTGTGAGCTCAAAATTTTTATTTGATAAACTTTTTGTATGAACGAAGCTTCTCGCATACCGTTTTATCTAACATGAATACTTAACTCTGCCGTATTACACTTTGAAAAAATTCTGTCAGATTGCAGTAACTTGGGAACTTTTTGGAACTTTTTTTTAGAAAACAAATCCAATTTACGATAACTCTGCCAACTCCAGAAAGAACAAAATCATGAATGATCTTGCCATTCGCCTAGGTACTGCTTTTACAGTCTTCGTTTCCTACTTGCCTACTTACTTCTTAGATACTTGAGTACTTGGATGGCCCGTCTTCACTGGTTGTGCGGGCCGCCCCAGTACAATTTCTACTTTTTCGGAGTTTTGCTGGCTTAGTCATTGTGGTTCCCTGAAATCCCGAGGTCAGTCCAGCCAGCGTATGCCCCATGTCGTCACCACTACAGGCAGTCGCCGCCCTTGTGGATCATGGAGGGATTTGCCACCATGCGACTAGTTCCATACCAGGACGGTGGTCGATCCTGGTATTGGTTTACTCTTACTTAGTTTTCTGATGGAGAAGCCGAACTCCTTCTCAGTTTGGGAGACCCTGCCGGGGGAATGAATCCTCCGCTGTACATCGCACCCCGACACCCAGGAACACCTCTCAGCCATGATGAGGCGGTAAATCATTGGGACGCTTTCTTAGTTTATCTAGTAGAAGTCAGTTGTTGTGCTCTCCGTTCAATAAAGCATTGTTAACTGTGTTATATATTGGGACCACATCGTTGCGATCGTAGATACGTTAGAACTATTCTTATTTTGTGTAAACCTATGTTTCTCAGTCTCGGTCAAGTTTGATATCTACACTGAAGTACTAAATGTTTCGCGTGACAAATCATAAGAAATTCAGCGTTCTACATTAAGCTAACTGGAACTCTAGGTTTTTTTATTGGTGGTATCTGCTTCATAGTTATTTCGTCGTTCATTGAGCAACTCAAGCACGGATTTTAGTCAATCCTCAATCGTTCTTTTCGCACGACTGGCCACGAATGTCTAGTGGATTCTGCTAGTTTACAAGAGCCTTTTCATACTCTTTGTGTGAAACCGGTTATTTCTGCCATCTTTCCAAAGTAGATAACCATGAATAGCTCGTTGGTCTAAGCCATCTCTACAATCTTATGCATAGCTATGCACCCAAAGCGGGCTGTCAAACTGTTTCTTAGCTGAGCCTCTACCCGGTGCCGCTGTGCACTGCCGTTCAACATCCAGGATCCCAGGATTCGCAGCGCGAGCACCATGCGACAATAACCCGTGATTACCCCATACTTAGTAGAAATCGTTCTATTTATCGTCATACCATCATGTGTTTTTTATAACAGTCTTTATAATGCTAGCCTTTTTATTTACTGCTTATTATTATTTTTCACGGCAGGTTAAAGTATAAAATAAAGGAAAGACGCTAAAGCTGCTATCCTCCCAAACAAGTGTGGTACCAGTCTGCCGACTTCCGAGGGATGGTGGGCTTGGTGAGTGATGGGCGCGGTGATCAATCCCATGGGTAAATCGCAAGGCATATCCGACCGCTGCGCGACACACCTCCATGATATGATGTGAAACGCAACCACTATGATGATTAGATAATTGTAAAACTTGGAGACCAAGCCAGATCGAACCGCGATTACTCTTTCCGGGTCTCAAAACATCTCAGCGCCACAGTGGTTGTATTTCGCCGTGTTCATAATCTTCTACGTGCACTGTTCATGTCTAATGCATTAGGAAATCGTATCATCACATTGATCTGTTGAAAGTGTTTAGCAACCGCCCATGCTATTCTCGCTTCGCAGATGTCTGGAAAACGCTCTCATTTGCTTTTGTGTTTTGGCATCTGCGCTTTTGTGAAAAACACTAGCTAGACAGGACCCACTTGAAGAACGTCTGCCTTCAGAGGACATATAGAAGTCCTTGTTAGCTGACGAAACCACTCGGTTTCCTTGCACGATCTTTTCTTTACACCCCTCTTTCAACTACTATTAACGCGAATAATCTCAATCATAGAAGGCCATTTTCCTGCACTATCGAAGCATTTTTTTTTTTCCACGATCCGTCACCAGATCTACTGTGGGAATCCCAGAAATCTTGCATTCGATTCGTTTTCCTCGCATTCGTCATTCATAGGTCATGGAATATAACTTTAATGATGCTGAGATATTTGCATAACTCCGGACCGCAGGTGTCTACGGTGAGGAACGAACGCGTTATTGCCCTTTTCGGGGAGTAAGGCGTTCACCACCACACCATGGCGGATTCCCACTCCCGCTGAAGGGTGATTGCTGATGGGAAAAAAATCGATAGAACTAGCTGAGAGACAGGCGAAACGAAGGACCCACATAGTGTGGTGGTGAACGCGTTACTCCTCGGAAAGGACAATAGCACGTCCGTTCCCCACCGCAGACACCTGCGGTCCGGAGTTTTGCAAATATCTCAGCATCATTAAAGTTATATTTCGCAATGTTTACCCTGCCGTTAAAAAAGGATAGGCAGTAAATGAAGCGGTTAAGGTGATGGAATATTTCACAAATGTTTTTGACTGCTGCGTGATGGCTTCATTTTCTTGATAGCCGAGCTGAGGTGTTCCTACGTGGATTACAAAAGACTATTGCTGAATGGTGAAACTAGGGCCTTTGCTTCTTCATCAAGGCTGTCACTAATCACAACACTGTTGTGCAAGTTCGACGTCACTAAATGGCAACCGCAGAAATTCTCTCATCTTAAATCAGAAGAATACTGAGTTGATTGACACAAATTCCTCATAAATCACCGGTTCTCAGTAAGATCACTTTTTGACCGACAGAATCAATCATGGTCAAGATCAAAAGGTTGCGGGGAAACACATTGGATAGATACATATTCTTTCTCTCATAACCTTACACGAGACTGATAAGTGATGTTTATTTTCGGCTAACGTTTAGACAGTATCGTCTTCATCAGAGCCGATGATCCGGAGTCGATGGTCCACTGTTGTTCGTGTTCTCGATGTTCGTCTTCGTTGTCGAACCGAAACGCAATCTTCTTCAATTAACACCTCACGAATGAGACATGCTCAGGCGGCGATGCCCTTTTATTGATATAGATGGAGACACCGCGTGGTTGATGGTTCCATCGCGGCATATGTGAAGCAAGTCCATAATTCCTCCCACGTTGGCAATTTGATACCAAACTTACATGGAAGGTGTTCCCTCGTAGCCACAAAGACTGGAAAGTGCCTATCATGTAGATCCAGCTCTGGTAGAGGCATATCAGGAAGAAACGGTTAGATCAGCATTCAACAACATTCATGAAGACGAAATTTTTAAGCGATAGCCCAGCCTACGCTCAAATGTTTAGCCCTTGCGGATGATCGATTTGAGGATACGAATCAAATAAAGGACGATTTAGAATCCTCACAACTTCCGCTATTATGTCGAGTAAATAAATCATGTTTATAAAAAGTTATCGATCTATGAAATATCTGCTAGATTTCATTCTGATGCCCACATAAGCCTTGATAGAAAGCTGAGTAAGATTTTGAAAACATTTACGAACAAAAAACGTACGATCACAATTTTTCCCAACCCAACCATCTCCACACACACATTCATAATCATTGACCTTATCGATACATCTCACCCAATTCTTGCAATTCTTCATTTGACACTCGTCGATCTCTGAAAAAGATTTTCTGAACGGTCTAAATAATACGCTGTTAATACTTTTGCAATATTTTCATACTCTACACGTGATACCGGTTATCCCTTTTATAGGAGATTTAGATTTTAGTAGAAGTTGCGTATTATAATAATTGAAGCAGTAGATCTTCCTTATTGTAGAGAGCGACTAGCAAAGGATGTAGATAGAATAAATTTTAGCTTTTCACGTTTTAGGCTTAGAAAAATGACTTGAAAAGACAAATAGGATCCTTGACACTTCTTGTATTGCGTGAGATCAATATACCCTCTTTAAGGAGAAATTTCGTCTTCATAAAGAATCGATCAGGGCTCAGTGGAGCTAGCAAGGTCAGATGTTTGTGCACGATTGGTCTTCGATTGGGAAAGAACAACACAGTTCTTTTTCTGGTTAGGCAACGACGAATAGGAAAATCTGTCACGAAGAGAGCGGGGTAAAAAAAACTCGAGGCGATGAGGAAAAACTTTATAAAATATATTGTTTCCCAAAATTAGTTGTCGACAAAGTACTACTATTAAATAGTGACCTCGCAATATTAATTTATTAGAAAGTTGTGGCTGTGAATTATCTTCCGACCTCTTTCACATCGTGATCCAGTGAATCCAGTATTACATCTGCATTCGATTCGACCATCATCTTTCATTATGCATTCACCATTTACTGAAAATTGGTCCTGTTTACAACTAACTAAAAAAAAGTTAGAAAACAAGTTGGGAATATCAAAAATAGCACCAATCTTACGATGTGCCTTTTTCCGAAACCAAAATGCGGTCTCTGTAACAATAAACTCCTTTAGTCATTTTGACATGCACAGAAATAAAAAAAGTATCATGAAATAAATGAACAAAACAAATGCTAAGTGTTGAAAAAACTAGATGAAAATTTAGAGAAATCAATTAGTTCACAATGATGGATCGAACCAAACACAAGTGGGTGCAAGGCATGTGTTCTTACTGCGCTACACGCACTGTGTACAGATGATGAGGACCAACAAGAAATCCTCAAAGGACTAATCAGCCGATGTTAAAAGAGTCATATAACTCGTTAATTCTGTGGTTTATCACTGCTAATACAGCACTATAATGAAGTAATACCACTTTTGAACGGGAATGGACTTCGAACTAGTCTCTCGTTCCTCTATGAGGTGAATAAGCTTGTAATTGGAGAAGCTTCGGTGGACTTTGCGAATATTTTTACCAACCTCTGCAACTTCGAACATAACTGCTGTTCTTCTTCTTTTAAGATCGCCTTTTATCGCCTGTCTGCATTGTTTTGCAAGTTCGGACGTAAATTAGCTCGAGTATCTCAGGAGAGACATCTTTTGGTGACTTTCGAACTCTCAGCTTTCATAGCGCTAACGTGAAGATTCTTCTTAATTTGCGAATATAGCAGGGTAATATTGCGAAGTATAACTTCAGTGATGCTAAGATATTGGCAAAACTCCGGACCGCGGGTGTCTGCGGTGGGGAACGAACGTATTATCTTCATCGAGGAGTAACGCGTTCACCACCACTTCATGCGGTTACTTCGTTTCGCCTGCCTCTCAGCTAGTTCTATCGATCTTTTGCCGTCAGCAATAACTAGCTAAGAGGCAGGAGGAACGAAGTAACCGCATGGAGTGGCGGTGAACGCGTTACTCACCGGAAAGGTCAATAGCGCGTCCATTCCCCACCGCAGACACCGACGGTCCGGAGAAAACGGTGATTCGTATGAAGTACTGAGATACCTGCAAAACTCCAGACCACAGGTGTATGCAGTGGAGAACGAACACGCGCTGTTTTCCTTACCGTGGAGCAGCGCACTTCATCACTACACTATCCGGGTCCTTCGCTTTGCATGTATCTCAGCTAGTTCTATCGATCTTTTTGCCATCAGCAATCACCCGTCAACAGGATTGGACTCCACTGCATACACCTGTGGTCCGGAGTTTTGCAGGTATCTCAGCACTTCATACGAGTTATATTTCACAACATACCCTGCCATTAAGCAGAAAAAGGCAGTGAATAAAAGAGTTAAAACGGTGATTGTTTTAAAGAAGTTTTACATTGTGCGAATGAAAATTTATGTACTTTATTTCATTGGCAAACTAACACGACGTTGATAAGTAACTTTATTCGCCTAACTTTTCCATGTCATCGTATTCCTTAGAGCCGGTGATCTGATTCGATGGTCCACAGTTGTTCGTCGTCTTGATTTGGTGTCTTCTTCATCGTATCGAGTCAAATATTCTTCGGTAGAGCACCGCTCGAATGAGACATCCTCCTCGGTTGCACTCGTTGACACAGACGGTTGTTGTTGATAACAGTTGTCCATTGGCAAAAATTCGTTTTTCAACGGACAATCCATCCTGGAGCAGGCGGTATTACATAGGGTTGCATGTGAAGAAGAAAATTTATGTTTTAAATTTTACCTACTGAGGTTATGAAAGTGTTTGATTGAGCAGACTGCATGTCAATTTGACTTGACCGTTCTAGGCTCCGAATAGAGCGAAACCGTCCACAAGTTAGCTGTTGTGAATGAATAAATGGTCTAATGGTCTAATAACAACATGGCGTTTGCTCATCAGGAAAACTGTGAATTGGTCAGCGCTGAGGTTAAAAGAAAGTAAGTGCTGGGATTTGCTAAATGATTACGTTGCATGCAGTCACGCTTAAGTATTCAATGATTAAATGTATAAACAGCAAAGAATAAAACATGTAGCGTTAGGTCTTTGCTATTATGACACACTTGATACTTGAACGGCCCGTCCTCACTGGTTCTGCGGACTCCAGCATAATCGCCATTTATCGTAGATTTGCTAGTTAAGCCATTTTGGTTCCTTGGAATCCCAAGGTCAGCCTGGCCAAAGTCTGCCCCAGGTCTTCACCACCACGGGCAGTCGCAGCCTTTGTGGATCAGAGGGAGATTTGCCACCAGAAATGAATCCTCCGCTGTACATCGTAGCCCGACATCCAGGAACACCTCCTAGCTAATTTTACTCCAATAGAAGTCTGGCACCATTATGCCAAAAACGGAGGGATGGTAAATTCCGAGAGACCGGGTCTCAGGACCGAAGCAAAGGTTCTGCACGCACTGCAATGTTTAAGACATTCACAAAGATATGATTTTATAATTAGTATTTGCAACGGGGCTTAGTGGCTAGTATAATTGCTATATAGTTCTTTTTTTGATGGTTTATTTTGGTGCAAAGAATCCTTTTCTTGTATTTCTTGAGGTCAATCTATAGCTCATCGAAACTGAATATTGTGGCGCGAAACAGGAAAAGATTTATTCCTCACTCAGGAATATATAAAGAATTTTTCTTCGAAAGATTTCATTGACCAGTAATTTAACTAACAATTGACTATTACAGCAATACTGATCGCTATAATCGATCACAGTTATCAGATGAGTGGATATAATGAATAGAGAAATGTCTCGGCACAAATTGCAAAACGCTGAGTGCCAACAGAATCTATTTCTACAAAGAATCAAGCGTAAAAGATGCTAAATACAATTCATATATCGTTTATACCCATAGAGAGATAGAGCAAAGTCTCTTCTGTAACACTGTAATGTTATCGACCTCTAACCACTGGCTTTTCGGAAATCGTCAGAACCAGCAGGTTCGTTAAAGTCGAGAAATAGGCGTTGCCTCATTCCTCTGCCACACGAAAGTACGTGTCATAACAACTAATACACTACAAGTTCCATGGCATTATCGGCGAACTATGCTACTTTATAAATGTAATTAATAAAAGCTGCTAAAAAATCAAAATCATTAGACGAGAAAGCATTTGAAATCAATGCCATTTAGATTGAAATGTCATAATAATATTGTACCCTCTGGATCCACTTTCGCTTCGACAAAATCCTGTTGTCGTCGCTGTACGTGTGAGTTAAGAAATCGTAGGTCGTCTTCTCTCAAATGATCTCTTCTCGACGGAGAAAACTTTCTGAAGAGACGAGGACTCACGCCAGTGGTATTCGCGTTGTCTGGTGGTGATTCCGCCATAGTCTGGGCAATGAATACTGCTTAGATTCTTCTCACTCAAAAACAGAAAAAACAAAGATTAGCATTTATTAGTCAGAAGATGACCGAGAAATAAACCAATGGAAACAAAAGAAACAATACTGGTTAAATATAATATTTTGTTAGGACGCATCTTTTGATAACCTTAAAAATTTTCGGCTGTTTTTCCTATGAGTATTGATGTCTTTTTCTACCTCACTTCATTTGTGTTAAACCACCCGTCTTTTGTTTCTGCTCTGCAGATCCCAGCACTTCCAGGATTCGATTGGATTTCTCGCGATCATCATTCACGAGAGGTTTCCGACATCTTTGCATGTGGGTTCGGTTGCTGTTTAAAGATATTCCTTTCGTCATTGTCGTCATTAGTGTCGCCGAGTGTTGCCCGAATCGATTCTCTCTGGAGTCCTTAGCTAGTCAGGGTAGAGTTGCGCGGGGGTGAACTGCTCCCAAGTTTGGTACTAGTTTCCTAACCCCGAAATGGTGAAAGGATTGGTGAGCCTTGCGATGGGCCGAACTACCGCCATGTTCGTGATGATCGGCATTACTACCACTGCTTTATCAGCTGTTTTTTTGCTATTTACGATATACTTCTGGAAATCATGTTTGTCTATCTTACTTGAATACTCAGACAACCCGTCCTCACTGGTTATACCGGCCATACCATAATTTCCATCCTTCCAGAATTTTGGTGGTTTTCCACCGTGGTTTTCTGGAGTCCCGAGGCCAGCCTAGCCAGTCTGCTCCAGCTCGCCAGCACCACTGGCAGTCACCGTCTTTGTGGATCGGAAGGAGATTTACCACTATGCGGCTAATTTGATACCAAGACGGTAGTGGATCCTGATATTGGTTGACTCTTAGCTAGGCTTCCTGATGGAAACGCCGAACTCCTTCTTAGCTAGGGACCTGAGGGGATGAATCTCCCGCTGTACATCACAACCCGACGCTCAGGAACACCTCCAAGCCACGATGAGGCTGTAAACCGTTGAGAGAAATGCTATTTTTCCTTACAATTTTTTCTTAAATTGGTCAAAATGTAAGGAATTTGCAAAAGAATCTGCTTAAAAAAGAAAATAACTTTGGTGGAATGTAGTGCTTATATTAGTACTTATGTAATGAACATAGTACTTATATATTTACACAACTCAGTTCAGCGTACCTCAGGAAACGTAGTTCGTCGCAATGCTGCACTTGCCTAAATAGAAGTGAACCATTGTCTATGGCACTTAGTAAAACTATCAGAATACAACAACATTTCCTATAATAGTTCTTCAAGTATGTAATGTCTATGTATGCCGATATACTACTCATAAATGGGGCAGCGATGAAAAGGAATACCACGGATAGACTTCAGAGCTTGGATTTCTTCCCACACAAATTATATGGTCTAATCAATATGTGTTTTTTCATTGTTAGGCTGATGCGGGTTGGTAAAAAAGTTTATTCGGCTAACAATTCGACGTCTTGGTTCTTTCGGAGCCGCACTGATCCGAGTAGATGGTCCACAGTTGTTCGTTGTCCCCAGATGGTGTCTTCATCGTTGACCATCTACTCGGATAAACGGCTCTGAAAAAGGCAAAGACTTCGAAACGTTAGCTGAATAAATCTTTTTTTGCCTCCTTGTGTTAGCTTACCAATGAAATAATATATATTGATTAGTCATACAGAGGTAAAAGAAAAGCCGGTTTTTGAAACGACCTGTCCTAACGCAATTATTAGAACTAAATACAGTTTTAGCTTTCATTCGTGTCACAACTGCCTTATCATCAGGATAGATCATTTCTTCACTTCTTCATTTCAATTCATCATTTATGCACCTCATCTCGTTATTCGTGGATTCAAGTTGCCGTCACACAAGTAATTTGCTTTATAGAATTATAGAGCAATTATTATAAATTATTTACTAACTTGGATACCTAGATGTCCCGTACTCAGTGGTTGTGCCGGCCTCAGCATAACCTCCATTTTTTCGGAGTTTGGCTGGTTTAGCCATTGTGGTTCCTTGGAATCCTGCGGTCAGCCTAGGTTAAGTCTTCCTCAGGTCGTCACCACCTCAGGCAGTCGCCGCCCTTATGGATCAGAGGAGGATTTGCCGCCGTGCTACTAGTTTGATAGCAGGTCAGTGGTATCAAACTAGTAGCACGGCGGCATCAAAGTAGCTTACGGTTTACTTTTATCTGGGCTTTCGGATAGAAAGTAAACCTTCGCTATACAGCGCAGTTCGACACCCAGGAATACCTTGCAGCCAGGATGAAGCGGTAAACCGTTAGGAGGTATTTACGTATCAACGGGTAAAACCATAAAGCGATTGGCGGTGGACAGTCCCTGAGTGATGCGTGGTCCGTTCCAAACTCCCGTAGCATTGTAGATATTATTGAAGACATATTTTTCCTATACAATTATTTGAGGAGCCGATCGATGCATTAAAAGAGAAATTTTATTTTTCGACAAAAGTCTATTATCAACTTGGCGATTCCAAAGGTATGAGTGACATTGTAAGTCCGGATGCAAGGTCGAGCCAACACTCGTCTGTGTTCCGAAATTAATCAACGGTGGAACCATCGATCCGTGTTCACAGCTAATAGATGGTCGAAGCGTGCTACTACATTGTCTCATTAACTTTTGACGCTTTCATGTTGTGTTAGATGGCTAGAAAATATACTCACTGCTTGGTTGGTTGTGAGAGAAAGCAACAACACTATTCACACCCAAGCACTTACTCTTAAAACACGGGGTTAATACTGCAGCCGCAGTCGTTAAAATAGCGTTGGGTTAGCAGATCTTAAGCGTTCTGTAGCAAGACTTGACACCGCTGTGGTGCTTTTTGTGCATTCTTCGTTAAATATGCTGCTAATGGAACTTATGGTGGACTCTTTAATATGTATAATGACCGCGAACATTGATGCCACCAGAATTAGATATGAGTGTAACAACTGAATAGATGAATGGCGAGTTGAGGTGAAGCACAGTCCAACATTGAATAAGAAGTTAAAGTAGACTAAGTTACCAACACGCCTCGACTCTTCTTGCTCAGCTTTTTCCATTTCCTCGAATACTTTGGCATCAAACGGTTCGATTGTGGTTACATCTTCTGGTGGCAACATTGTTGCCTTTTCATCAGGACTAAGTGTGGGTTCTATAATGACAAAACGTAGACAGTAGTAAAATTTTTATTATATATCTATCTTTTTTCTCACTATCCTCATTATCCTTCTTATTATAATCTATTTCCCGAAACCTATTATAAATGTATTTCTAGGTAATATTTACTTCACAGTTCTACTCATATAAGTATATATTTACTTGCCTCCGAACGGTTTACCGCCCCATCGTCGCTGAGAGGTATTCCTGGGTGTCGGGCTGCGGTGTACAGTGGGGGATTCATTCCCTGGCAAAGTCTCCCAAGTTGAGAAGGAGTCCGGGGTTTCATCAGGAAACGTAGCTAGGAATAAACCAATACCAGGATCCAACACCATCCTGATATCAAAGTCGCTTAGTGGGAACTCTCTCTCTGATCCACAAGAGTTGCGATTGCGTGTGGTCGTGGCGATCTAGGGGAGACCTTGGCCAGGCTGACCTTGGGATTCCAGAGAACCACAATGGAGGATCAAGCAAACATCCGAAAAATGGAAATTATGCTGCGGCCCGTACAACTAGTGAGGAAGGGCCATTCAAGTATTAAGCACATATTTATTTGTGAACGATCTGATTAGTTTTAATAAAAATGGACGAAATGCTGCTTAACACTTTCTACGTGATTGAAGTCCGATTCGTTTAAATTTTTTTCTTTTCTCCAATCTTTTCGTTAAATGGTTTACGTCATCACATTTCTGTTGGTGTTGATAAGTAGCAGTGGAGAACAGTAGTCTTGTTTTCACGTTGAACAAGGTGACTTCTTTCAGGACAGGGGTTTGGAGCACAAGCGGGATAATGGGACAACATATGAGTAAAGAAGCGCAGTTGAACAGATGCACCAAATAGGTATTAGTCTCTTCAATCGGTGTCCTTATTTTTATATCCTGTTGGGCTGTTTTATTATGTTAAGAGGATATGAAACGATCTACATGGGGTGTATTAAACATGCTGACTGGGTCCGGTTTCAATGACGGGCTATGCAACTTGCGCAAGCTAGTTTGCTACCATGGCGGCCTTCATTCTGTAACATCGGAAAACATTTTAGGCTATGATTAGAAAAGAAACAGAACGATAGACAGAGCAAAAGTAGGAGAATAAATAAGTAAAAACCAAAAAACGCTTAAAAGATGTCTTGATTTATCGTTATGAAGAGGTAACTGAGAATTGAGTTGCGAACCTTCACGTCCTGGCTCTACTTCAATTTCAAACAACCACTCGACTAGTTGAACACGTGGTGCTGATTTTGGACGCAGGAATCCGTTTCGTGGTCGCCAACGCTCCCAGTACAAACCGTTTTCAACTGCCACCGTTAACCTGAACCATGAAATTTCTCTAATTAAAATAAAAGGTAGCTCTTTATTTACCAATGAGAGACAGGCGAAACGAAGGACCCGCATGAGGTGGTGGTGGTGAACGCATTAGTCCCCAGAAAGCGTGATAGCGCGTTCGTTTCCCACCGCAGACACCTGCGGTCCGGAGTTTTGCAAATGTCTCAGCATTGTTGTGCTTGTAAAATAAAAGTTGCGGTCACTACGAGCATGGGGGGATAAAACAGTGGTAGTGATGTCGGTCATCAAGAGAATGTTGCTAGCTCGATTTCGCTCGGGGCCAACCAAGCCTCTCATCCCTCCGGGGTCAGGAAATTAGTACTGGACTTGTTCGGGAAAATCACACTCCGTGATGCAGTTGGGAACGCTCCAGCCCGGCCGTCCCAGGACTCCACCGAGAACCGACTCAACCAGAATTCTACGAGATTCGAGATAAAATGAAAACCCTTCAGCAGTAGCGGAAGCCACACGTAAAAGTTGGAAGATCTTCGTGGACAACAGATGTGAAGAAACGAATCGAATGTGAGAAGTGCTTGGTTCCGCACACGAGCCGTGAAGACGGATCATATGAAAATAAAAATAAAAATTCCCTACAAACAACGCTCGTAAATAAAATTAGATGGCAGAAACTCTTGCTTAAAATTGCAATCAGTTATCAAAGGCACGTGTGGCGCAGTGGTCGGAGGCTCCCTGCAATGCTCAAGTACTGGCTGGATACATTTGCAGCCTACCGCGAGTCATTATAAAGACCACATATGTATTCACTCACCTCTATCCGTTGCTTAATGAAGTCGAATGGCCCATCCCTCAAGGATTGGTCAAAGTCGGGAGCTTTATCCTTTATTTTATTAAGAATATCATGCAGGATTTTTCGAATATTTAACCTTTTTTAGCGAAGAAAAACTTTTGCATGTCTTACAACAAATATTGCTGGACTTTTAAATGCAGTAAGTTGAATTTTTTCAAAGGGGTTTCAAACTAATGGGTAATTATTGGAGACTTCTTCGCAAATGCTGCTAGAAGTTTAGAAATGGAGTACGTTAGAAATGGATCCAACGCCTAAGGTGAATATGGCAAAACTTCGTAGGTTCTGTCCATTAGCTCATTTTTCTTTGCTAGGGTTAATTGCTTGACGCAATATTGAAGAAAATATAAAAATTCGAAGGCTTTTACTTCCGAAAAGATTTTGATTCGTCAGTGACTGCACAGTATCCTTTCGAACAAAGGATTCCAATAACTAATTTTTAAAGATAAGGCAAACTATTTAATTTATACACCATCAAGGAATCATAGTAACTTTTTTAGAGCTTATCGTCGATCTAAAATAGATGCGTGTAACGCAGTTTTACAGGGGCTCTGAGATACACACATAGTCGCCGTCTCGATCTCTCATCGATGGCTAGCCAAGCAACCAGTGCTTCTGGAACCGATAAATTGCTACCAGGCTTGTCTGCAAGGATAGAACACCTAGCCTGATAGATGGGCAGATCACCGAAACTTATTTCGTAGAGTGACGTGCATTCAATCACTATCCAAAATGCTAAGTGGCAGTCATCCGAGAAGTTAAGCTGGCACAAGTAAAGTTCCTAATTCTTTTTGTCCTTATTCTGGGATATACAAGTGAGTTCCGTTTTTTTTTTAAATACGCGACGTTCAGAGACGTGGTAAAGATGTTTGGTTGATTGAGCTTGAGGTTGACTGTTCTTTCTTTGCGTTTTTATGAAATAATGAATGAAATAGGAAGTTGAGAAAGTAGATCTTTGTTATGTTAAAAACATTTGAGCGCTATGTACTATAGCGTTAACACAGCGATTTATGCTTAACATAGCCATTCCAGTAGCCATCAGACGTGACAACGGACGGCTATTTAGCATTTTACACCAAGGATAATGTATAAAAGATAAAGCTCTTAGCGTTGATCAATCCCTGAAGGATGCGCCATGCATTCGACTTCATTAAGCATCGTTGGAGGTGATTGAATGCATGTCTGGTCTTTACAATGACCAGCGGTGGAGTACCGATGTATCGAGCCAGTGCTGCTATCCTCCCAAACAAGTCTGGTACCAACTTGCCGACCCCGGAAGGATGGAAGGCTTGGTGAGCCATGGACGCTGGAATCGATCCCACGTGTGTGACGCAGTGGCGCCTCCAACCACTGCACCACACGCGCCTTTGCACCAAAAACTGTAAAAAAAGACGAAAAGAAAAATGAAATGAATAGCGAAATTTTAAGGTGTGGTGGTGTCAAAATGCTTTTTCTCTGCAGAAGTTCTTCTTAATTTTTTAATGGTTTATAAAATTACAAAGAAATGGAGTTCAGAGGTTGCAAGGCGGATCAAGAACTTTGAAACTGCTGGGCACTTTCAACAATATAGTCAAAAGTTAGCAAAGTAAAATCTGTCGGTAATGAGATGTTTAATAAATTTCATTTAGTAGCGAAATAAGGTTGAAATAGAAAAGATGTAAAATAAGCTCACATAAATTGAACTGATCCAACGTCTCGGTCTGTTGTCCATTCGACCTCGACGAGAAATTTCTTTGAATTTGTCGCATGTGTAAGGGAGTTATTCGACTGAGAATTATCACAGATTTGATGACGTATGCCTAAAAATTGCTATATAGCAAGAAATTGTAAACTCTACTCATAATCATCTCAAAATTCAAAAAATCCTCGCTAATACTGAAAATCTCCCAGCGGTTTACCGCCTCATCGTGGATGGGAAGTGTTCCTGGGTGTTGGGCTGCGATGTACAAGAAGATTCATCCCACCTGCAGGGTCTTCCAAATTGAGAAGGAGCGTTGCATCCCCATCATGAAGCTCAGCTGTGAGTAATCCAACACCAGGATCCACCACTGTCCTGATATCAAACTATTCGCGCAATGTTAAATTTCCCTCTAAGCCACATGACCGGAGACTCCCTGTGATGGTGGCGATTTGGAGCAGGCTTTGGTCAGACTGACCTCGGGATTCCAGAGAACAACAAAAGCTAAAGCAGCAAAACTCCGAAAAATGGAGAATATGCTGGGACCCCCGCAACCAGTGAGAACGGGTAGCCCAACTATCAGAGTAATTAAGATACTGAAAAATATTCTATTTATAGATGTATTCAGACTTGTGATTTTGACAAAGTCGTACTTCGTCGTTGCTTTTTTTAAATAGGAAACTCTTAATGTCTAATTATTAAAGTTACAGAGATATTACAGAGATATTAACTTTTTATTTCAATTTTATTTCATACAACCGGTCTTTCACATCTACTGTGCGTATCTCGGCACTTCTGGCATTCGATTCGTTTCCTCACATCTGTCTTCTAAGAAAATTCTCCAACTTTCATATGTGGGTTCGGCTGCTGCTTGATGGTTTTCTTTTCACCTTAAATGTCTTAGAATGTTGGACGAGTCGTGGCTAGAGGATTCTCACATAGATTTTCGAAAGTGAAATTGTCAGGACCGCTTCAGAACCAATTTCCTAAACCTGGAGAAATGGGAAGCTTGATGAGCGGGCTCCAACCAGCACCGTGCTATCGATGGCCGGCATTACTACCAACATGCTATCCGCCCTGGTTACCCTGCAATCACAAGCCAGTTAACACCACTACGTGCGTGCGAACAAGTCAGATGTCGAAACATGGTAAAGGTAACATTTTGAACTCTTTGTAGTTACAAACTTAACCCTTTTATTTACTGCCTTTTTCTTTTTAATGGCAGGGTATGTTGCGAAATATAACTCTTATATAATGCTGAGATATTTGCAAAACTCCGGACCGCAGGCGTATGAGGTGGGGAACGAACCCGAGTTGTTGTCCTTACTGGGGAGCAGCGCACTTCACCACGACACCAACCGGGTCTTATCAGTGAACGAATGTAAATTGATTAGTCATACCTTTTTGTAGTTACTTACCTTTATTTTATCATTACACCGATAATATTATAGTTGCAACGATTACCATATATCAATGTAATTTTTCATAAACCGAGCTTCCTTTAACTTTGGCATGACTAATCAATATACATTCGTTCACTGATAAGTTAAGACGAGGTTAATAAACAAGCACTATTCGGCTAACGTTTCGTCGTCTTCGTCTTCATTAGAGCCGATGATCCGAATCGATGGTTGACAGCTTTTCGTTCTCTCGATGTGGTTTCTTCGTCTTTGTGTCGATTGGTATCTTCCTCAGTGGAGCACCTCTTGAATGAGCCATACTCACCATTTACATACATGTTGATTAATCACGTCGAAGTTAAAGGAAAGTCGAATTTTGAAATATTGTTGCTGTGTGCTGGCTGATAATGAAACTGGCTTCAGCAGGGTGGTTTACCTAGAAAAAGCTATTGTCGCCAGTCATTCACTACCTTTAGGAGCTAGCATCCTGTATAAAAGAGCATCGCTGGTTGAGCTTGCCTCCTTCGAGCGAATTTCCACTAAAGAAGATCCGACACCAAACGAAGACGAAGATACCAAATCGAGATGACGAAAGACTTTTGACATGGACTCGGATCATCGGTTTTGAGGAATACGAAGACGTTGAAACGCTAGCCGAATTAAGTTATTTACCAACCCCGTGTTAGCTTGCTAATAAACGACTTTTAACTGTTATACCTTTTTATTTTCTGCCTATTATAATTTCGCGGCAGGGTACTAAGCGAAATACAACCACAACGTTGCTGAGATATTTGCAAAACTCTGGACCGCAGGTGTCTATGGTGGAGAATGAAAGACGTCCTTTTCATCAAAGACAAGGACGTCGGAAAGCGTGAAAGAATAAGAACTGCTATGAAAATGGTTCTGGAATCAGATTTCC